TTTAAGGACCTTGCGCTTGTCCTTGTTCTCTGTCAGGTATGGCGTTAGTGCCTCACCAAACAGCTTTGCCCCTTGGTACGGAGCCGAAGCCAATTTCCACTTGGATTTGGTATCCGCCTGCCAGTTCTTTAGCCAGAGGATGCGCCTGCTCGTGTTGTTTGCCGCCATTGCCTTGGCTGAAAACTTGGTCGCTAAAAGTGTTGCGTCCGACGCATATTCCGTGGCCGCTACCATTTTGCTGAGTTCCTGGTGAGTGCGTATATCTTCCATGGGAACCCGGCCCTGTAACTCACGGAGCCAACAAAGTGTGGCTCTGGTGAAAAAGGACGCGGAGGTAGACGCCCTGGTAGCCCAAGCTATTGCCTGGTGCGTTCTCCTGTAGTTGGACTCACTCTTTCGGTCCTCGGCTTTAAGAGCCTCAGCAAAATCTCCTGATATGGCCGTGTCCGATATCAGGGGACCTATGGGTTCGTCCACCACAGGCACCTCCAATGTTCCCTCTAGCTCCCTTGCTACGTTAAATAGCTTCCTCTCCGCATTGCTAGGAAGCGGTAGGGAGGTTGGCGCTGCCCACTGTTTCCTTATTGTGTTTAGGAACATGGTCGGGCATGGTATGCGGTGTTGAGTGGTTACCTTTTCGGCGAACGTCGGCTCAGCCTCCGTGTCAACTGTGACAGGCTCCGCTGGTGTCCCATGCCCCAGATGGGCTGTGGCCTCAGCCTTGCGCAGAATAGTAACAAAAAGAGAAGGGTTAAACAGGCCGCTGAAGGACGGCCCTTGAGGTGAGGTGTCCTCCTCCTCCTCAGACATTTGAATCCCTTGTGACGTACCTGGCTGGTCCAGGTAAGCTTCCTCAGAGACCGACGAGTCTGAGATGGAGGAGAGGTCCTGATGGTCCTCCGTTTCCTCCCGATGCCTCGTTCTAAGTCCTAGAGGCTTGGCTTTTGAAGTTTGAGCCCTGGCCTCAAATGCACGGTCCACTGCCTGTGCTATTAGGGTAGCTAGCAGATCCCCCGTCAATGCAGGAGGAGTGACCATTGCCTGCGACCCTGCAGGTGCTGTGGTTAGCATGGTCCTCGGGGTTTCCTGTAACCTCCGTGGGGAGGGGGATCGGGAGAGCGATGAGAATTCGCCTATCCCACCCTCTGTTTGGGACTGTGATGAGTTCCCTAATGACCAAATGGCCCGTGGGGATGAAGGGAGACCCAGCGGTAGATCAGGACCTATTCCCCCATTCTGCCTATTTTCAATTCTGGCCCTTTTCTGGGCTCTGTCGAACTCTTTTTCTAGGGCTTGGTGTCTTCTGATTGCCTGTTTGTCAGCCTTCTTTGATGACTTCCTTGCAGCCTTTCTAGGGGCTGCAGAGGATTCCGAATCCTCTGAAGCAGGTGCTCCAGAGGATGAAGGCGGGGCTCCAGTGGAGGGAATGATTGCTTCCTCCATTCTCCACTAACGCTGGGCCGCGATAGGGGGGACCCAGGTAGTAGGAGAGCTCCAACTTTGAGTAAGGACAGGCGCACTACTGGGGGCGTCTGGAACTCAGGAGCAGACTCTGCAAAATTGTCAGAGTTAGTCACTGTGCACGGATAAGAACAGGCACGCTAATGGGAATGCCTGGAACCCACCACTAAATCCAGAAGCGTACGGGCCACTAATGGGGGACCCGAAGTCTGGAAGGAGCCAAAGGCAACTAAACACAGTTAGTTATGAAAGGTTCTTATTTACTTTAGGTAGAAGACACCAAGTCCTGGAACCAGTAGCTATGTGTCTGATTTGAATGTCTCTGAATGAATAATAGATGCTTTAGTACCCCAGTACTGCTTGCCTATTAATTCACTCCAGCGGCTGAACCTAGCTTTCTCAGGGAGCTTTAACTCCCCTGTTTGGACAAAAAATATGGCCGCCGCTGCCAAGAGACTACTGCGCATGTGTTAACAAGGCTGCCTATGCCACGTGCGGTTGTAACAAAGAGCTGCGCGTGCTTCCAGCTGTGCAGACAATGGCGCCTCGTTTAAAAAATCCTGAGCAGCCTGGAGTGAAAAAGACTGCTCCTTCGCATGCCAGCTGTTTCCCTTAATCAATCTCCCTCCCAGCATGCGTCCCCTTTGTCCTCCGCTTCCCTCGCTAACTGCTTGCCTTTCTGTCTTTTTTGTTTTGTTTGTTTTAAACGCGAGGGGTTGCCCGAGCCTCCCTGTTTGTTTAAGGCGGCTGCCGGCTGCTGGAAGGTGGCTGGGGTTTGGGTTAGGGAGGGCAGTTAGGGATTTCCCCCTTTTAAGTGGGGGTGGTTTCCCCTGTAGGAATCTGACTTCCTGAGTCTTACAATTTAGCAAGGAAATTTTTGAGTAATCAATTAAATTGAATTAAATTATCTCTAATTAACTTTTAAACTAAGCAATTTCAGCTACTAGAAAAAATCCCCCCAATGGAAAGGAACTATACCTGCCCAGGAGCCAAAGTTGTAGGTCTGTCTGTATGGCCAGATCAGTCAAGACTAAGGATCATGGTCCAAGACGGGGCGTGGCAACTTTGGCTGACTGATCTGATTGGCCAGGAATACAGTCTCAACCCACTGCGTGGATTATCCATCTCCAGTGCTGGAGAAATCTAAATGTCCCAATATAATTGACATAATTACTAAAAAATAGATCTGGATCAAAACAATTCCTTAAGATGTATCAACTCTAGAAATCTAGAAAAATATAATAAAATATTTCACACTTCTCTTTGGTTCCCCCTCTCTTGCGGTTGCAGGCTTTTTTATTCTGCCAAAAGTTTCACTGATTTTTTGCTTTCCCTATTTATGATTCTTTACCTATATTTTCATTATTTGTTCAATTTTTTTAACTTAGCTTTCTAAAATTTCATTCAGACATTACTGTCTCTAATTACAATGATAGTATTAAAATGTGTTTTTTAAGAAACTGCACCTATTAGATTTTACGGCTTCATCTCAGAAAGTAGAAAAGGACTTTGTGTGCAGCAAAACTCTTTTAATGAACAAAAGCCTTCTGAATGTGCATAATGAATGAAATTGAAAATGCAAAATATACAAAATTGATATACAAAGTGATACCTTAGTAAAAATATACAAAGATGATATACCAAGTTATGTAGCTATGCCCAATTCAGTGACTGTTCAAAGTTAGGACGACATTGAATGAGTGGTATTTAAACCAGTTCTTGAAATTTTAGATGTCACAGCACTCACACAGACAAATGATTGGATTTGGGCATTTGGCAACCAGTTCACACTTATCATAGTTGCATCATCCCACAATCACGTGATCGCCATTGGTAACCTTCCCTGACCGCTTTCCAGAGGCAAAGTCCCAGAGATCTCATACTCCATAGTACCCACTCCACCAGCCTGCTCTTAATACCATGCACTGACCTGCAGCAACCTCTCTACTTGCAGCTCTCACCAACCTGCCTATGCTCCCTACCGCCCACCTGTAGCCCCTGCTGGTTTGCCCACACTTCTTTAGGACCATGAATTCATTTTAAGGAGAAATTAGAGTCAGGTGTTTCAATCAATTGCATTTTCAGCAGGTATGAGCGTGGGAAGTTTTGCCTTACTTAAAGTACAGACTTCTGATTATTCATTAACTAAGTCTGATCTTCACAATACAGATATATAGGAGAGTGACTTGAACAAAGTAACGTTTCTGAGGAAACAGCTATTGAGGCTCACTAGGCTGTAAAAAGTTACAAAAATCATTCCCAAAGCGTTTGGACTCCATCAGTCCACTATCAGGAAGATCATGTACAGATGGAGGCCATTCAACACCAATGTTATCCTCCCCAGAAGATCACACCAAGAACAAAACATGTAATAATCCAGGAGCTTTCAAAGAAACCCAGAGAGCACTACTACTCTTCAAAAAGAACACTGTTGCCAGTCTACAGTTTGCAAAACACCATGTGGATAAGCCAGAAGTTATTGGAAAAGTGTTCTGTAGAAAGATGAGTCCAAAAATAGAAAAATTTTGGTGTGAATAAAAAGTATTATGTTTGACAAAAGGCAAACCCTATTCCAATATAAGAAGCTATCTGTAAAATATGATGGTGGTAGTATGATGGTTTGGATCCGCTTTTCTGCCTCTTGAGGACTAGGACAACTTGCCATTAATGATCATGAGGTATCAGTGGAATGGGATGGGAACCATGAAGTCTGAATTGCACCAGAAAATTCTAAGGAAAATGTCAGGGTATCTGTCTGTGAACTGAAGCTGAAAATGGGTCATGTAGCAAGACAATAACCTTAAACAGATGAGTTGTACAACCAAAGCAGAACAAATAAATATTTTGGAAAGGCTAAGTCAAAATCCTGATTTTAATCCTATAGATTAACAGTAATTGGAAATCTTTAGCTTCAAGGGAGCACACTAGTAACTGAAAGCAAAGATTCACATACTTTTACCACAAATATGTAGCTTTGGATTATTTTCCTCAATGAATAAATGAACAAGTCTAATGGTTCTGACTCATTTGTTTAATTACATTCTCTTTAGTTTTAGAACTTGTGTAAAAATTAGATCATGTTTTAAGTCATGATGCTGAATTTTTGAAAATTAAAAACAATTCACAAACTTTTAAGAACTCTATGCTCTTTTGCTGTTCTGTTTGTCTAACAAATGCACTTTATATTGATTATCAGTACTTTTAATTGTTTTAATCATTATTTTTATATTACATGTGAACTTGGAGGTATGACATAGATATAAACTATACATTTAAAGCTGGAAAATACAGTTCATTTTTCTATACAGCAATCCTATATTGCCCACACTGAACTTATATACTAAACATTTTTGTTAATATAATTACATTGAATGAATAAATAGAAATACTTATAAATGCAATAAATAAATGGCACTTTTAATATATAAAATTGTACTGGTGACTATGAGCTTTTCTTTAAATAACTGACATTTTAAAAACAGATTAAAAACCAAGAACTCTAAATTGGAAGGAAATTCCTTTCTTTTCACGGTACTTACAACCCCAATGGGAAAAGCTAAGACAGCCATCATCCAGTCACGTAGGGAGATGAGTTTTCTTAGTTGCCTTTGTTGTTCTTGGTTGTCATTTCCTTTAGTCAGAAGGCTGGAAAGATCAGTCAGAACACAGATCCCAAAAAAGATTGCTTGAACAACCTGCATTAGAAATACCAACATATTGAAACATAAATATCTCAGTCTCAATAATATCATTTTTAGCTGCAGATCCTTCGTAGTGGTGGTGACATTTGGCAGCAGGGAATTTATTGGGCTTTAAAAATGCCCAGGTTGCCAAATATATTATTCTCATTTTCTGCTCTATCAAATGTAAGCGCATTTCTTTATACAGTGTTGGAAGCGCTTAGCAAGAATGGAAAGATAGACAGGATATGTGCATTTATCCTGAACTCTTCATCTTCAGTTATGGTATTAATGCCAATTCTGAAAACAAGGGCCAGTCTGGCATCATTCTGAAAAAAAAATACTATACTGTCTATCTCTGTGGATGTTTTTCTCACTTAATGCACCAACATTACATTTCTGGTCCCCACTGTCAACAATATGTTTGCACTTTTGCCATGTATGAAAAAAACCATAAAACTCACCCTGACATTTATTCAAGTAACCATCACCTTTTATTTTAAAAAGCTCTAAATTATATGCTAACTGCTGTTTCTTTTGCTTCTTCTGAACTGTAAGTACAACATCTGCTCTATTACTTTCCATGTCCTGGAAGGCAGGAAAAAAGGCAGGGCATTTTTATCCATTTAGTAAATATGTGTTTATGTAGAATATATTTTTACTAGATTACATTTCACATTATCTTTTCTAAAGTTTAATTTTGCTTGACTCCTATTCAGCACATACAATTATTTTGAATTAAATATATTTTATATTATACACAATACTAGAACTGTGATTAGTGATATATCCTAGACCACGGGTGTCAAACTCGCTGCGTCATGTGATGTGTTGCGACATATTGTGACTTTTTTCACATTGCCGGAGCTGGGGTGGGTGCGACCTCCGCATGATGCAACTGGCCCACGGGCTGGCAGTTTGACACCCCTGTCCTAGACTATCTGCCAAGCATCAATTAATAATAGGAAAGGCCATCAAAAAGCTAGGTAAACTTTGGCTTCACTTGTTGAGCAAGGAAAGAAACATTTATCACAGATATTTATACTAAGTTGTACTTATGGATTAAGTTTACAATATCTTGAAAACTCTATCATGTTTTAAAATAAATAGTTCACTCAACCAAAAAGCAATGATTTAGAGAAGTCTTTCTCTGATAAGAAGCAAACAAATTATTTATGTGAAAATTCTAAAATATACAGAATACATCTCATGGTCCAAAACAAAGTGGCTTGTCTAATTAATGTTAAGTAAAATGAAGGCAAGATTTTGTCCTATTAGTATACCTCTGTAACATCAGAATGTTAAACCTATAACTATTTGAATAAAAATTATTTATTACCTTTTTCCTTATCTTGTCATATTCAAATGATTCTTGCTGTATTTTCATATCTTCCTGGGAGCTTTAAAAATTTAGGAAGACAAAAGGTCTGGATAAAACTACATTACTATATAAAAACAACACATCCATGTTGTTACCAGGAGTCCATATTCGATGGGGGAAAAGGGAAATTAATTTAACTGGTATTTGCCACACACTAGCTGTACACCAATTCAAGAAGTGCATTAGTGTTGTGCGTGTTGTTTATGTTACAAGACTGTTTAATGCTTGCCTTTATGACCTTTCTGGAATACTTCATTTATTATCCTCTTGCTCAGTTATTTTTATCCAATTTTCATCTACTCACCTCAGCTTGCAGATTATGTCTCAATTTTATACTGAGCTTCTCTTCTCTATTAATTTATTAATGCAGATCTTAATCACTATAAACCATAAATACAGCATAAGATATTACTAAAATCAAGTAGCCATCTTTGTACTAGTTGAATAAATATAAAATAGTAATAAACAAGAACATCCATAAAGCTGGAGACCACTTTGATGTCTGAGACACTATATCAAGTAATTTCAGAAACAATTAGAGAAACACCAAAAATGCCAGATTTTCAGACTCTTAGCTTTGGGAGTATGATATGGAATTCCTAAAGCCATTCACAAAGAATCTACAGCATTATGACCCCAAAAATTATCATATGCTTTGACTGTTCATTCCTAATTAACCAGTAATTTTTGAAAATACTGTTTCCAGCAAGATTTCCCTGTGACGTGATTTAAATTTATTATTTTTGGCCATCAAATATTTTTAATTTTGATTTTGTTATCTCTGAATTTTGGATCCATACTTTGTACATCATGAGGAAATAAAACTTTTATGCATGTATTTAATTAGCCAAACTGGAAAAAGCAAAATACAGTACAAATAATTTGGACTCTTCTGACAAAATTCATCTATGTCTCCAGTTCTATAATATCAGAATGTATGCAACTGAATAAGAAAAGGATCCAATATTATTGAATAATACTAAAATCTCCATAAGGATTTACTAGAAAAAAATCATTTGGTCTTTTTTAGAAATGAAACAAAATCTACATGCAGAGACAAACTTAATGCAGAATAACATTAAACATGAACCCAAATGACTCAATCCAGCTTTGTAAAAATGCGAGTATCTTTGCATAGTAGATAATATTTCTCCTCCTTAACTTATTTCAAGTTTGTTTGTTAGTATCTGCCTTTATTGTTAAAAATACCTCAAGGTGGCCAACAAGTCTAATGCACTTTCCTTCTCCTATTATCTCTATAACAATAACCCTGGGAAGTGTGTTGGGCTGAGAGAGAGTGCCTGGCCCAAAGTCACTCAGTTGGCCTTCATGGCTAACCTACATACACACAAACATAGTTTCCATCCTATCCAAATATACCTAGCCACTTTTGTCACTACAACAGGAAACCAACAAAAATAATACATCTATTATAATAAGAATACTTATACCTTGTTACAAATACTAAATTACAAACATTGTGATATCATTAAGACCTAAAGAGACAATCATGAAAATTAACATGATTAAAAATTGTTGTCAGAACAAATTGGCAGATCAAATATTCATAAGTTACGAACCTGTGCTATAACAGCTATAGTAATTTTGACTGAAACATTTGCCCAGATTAGCTATTTCAGTAACATATTCGTGAGAGAAAGTGTTCAGTTATTTAGACAAATACTACTGAATCCCTCAAGATCATAAACAATTTTTAAATTTTATAATTAAGCCCCATATTCTGTCTATCTGTTTTCTATATCAACAATAATTTGCCATTATAAGATGGAATGTATCCTATTTGAAAGTGGAAAAGCAGCAGGTCAATATATTGGGAAGTAATCTAGTATTTCCCAATTAAAGCAGAGGCTACCAAAATGTTTGCTCCTCAGAGCAAATTCCCCAGTGCAACCACCTTACTACGACATCTTTAAAAAGATATTAGATCCCTTTTAACATTAGCAGTTACTATTTTAACTACCATTCTTGATGTGTTTTCATAACTTGCAATAATGATCCTTCATTATGGTAAAATGGTAAAAGAGTGTCATATTTAACCAAAAGCCATATTTAACAAAAGATGATAGAAGAAATTCTGTTTCATCTTCCAGACCCCTTCTCTCCGTTTTTGTGTGCAATAGATCAAAGAATATGGAGGTCTCAAAAAGATGGAGGAATAATATCTCAGAGAATAGAAAAATAAGTAAACTAAAAAGGGAACTAAGTGGCATTTCCCATTTACTTAAAAGTCTATCTTGATGAATATATATATTTCCACCATCTGGTGGCAACCTTGTTAGCACTACTTTGTAAATTATCATCAGCTTAAACATCTACATACATATAGAGAAAACAAAGTATCATAATTGACCATAAGAATATTAATTAAGAGAATTGCAAGGGCTTGTTCAGACAATTATAAAGAATGATTTTGACTCATATTTATTGGTCATATATATCAGAATGGTTTTGATATTTTGAATTAACATTATTAATATTTAAAGACTGATAGCAAAACAAAAGCCAGATTGGTGTAGTGGTTACAGACCCTAGACTTGAAACTGGAGGACTGAAAATGCTACTCCTGCCTTTGATATGAAGTCAGCTGGGTAACTTTTGACAACTACTTTCTGTCTCAGCCTTAGTAAAATGACAGTGCAAACCACTTCTGAAAAATGTTAAGAAAATGCTAAGAAAACTGGGGTAGGGGGTGGGGAAGAGGTTATGAATAAACTAAACAGGAGTTTGCCATACCAGATATTATTTATCTTAATTAGAAATACAATACTCTCCATTTAAAGTATATATTAGAATACAAGTAAATATATTAGAATGCCTGAACATATTATTTGAGAATTCCGACTTGAACTAAATTTTACCTTCTGGAATTTTTTTTTAAATTGAACCTAGGAAAATTCCAAGTACGTTAATTTCCAAGCACTTCAAAAATACACATTCAAGCAAAATCTGGGCAATTTAATTTATTTTAAGAAGCTGTTATGAATGGTAATTCAGTAAAGATATGAAGCGTTCTATAACTGGAACAAAAAGAAATTGTTTAGCCTAACTATTGCTATCTCGCTTTTATAATCAGCGTTTGCATTAGGGACAAATTTCATGCAAGCGTAGGAAAAAATGTACATGGATGGGATGTACCGAAGGACAGAATAAGGGAGTGTACAGGAATGATTGATGTCTTCCTTATGATGCAATGGCTCTGTTGTCTGATTTTCATTGGCTGACAAAGTTTATAAAGTAATGCTACTAACTTTTTAAGGTGTCACACTTCTGGATGTAACTCTGCCAGCGTTCCAGGTTGTTTGCCACCCATCTGTTTTATTTGATCAATTAAAGCAATGTTTCCTCAAGAAGCCTCTGTTTGAGTTGCCTGATTAGACTTTTAATGGTATCACAAATTTAAGTAAGAGCCAGGGACCTTACAGATATGTGGACATTTAATGTGCTATTGCCACGCTGTACAAGGCAATTGTCCAAAAACAATTCCTTTTCAAAAGCAATCTCAAAAGAACTGCTAAAATTAGTAAATTTCTTTTACAGATGAAATCAAAATACCATGGTCAAATATTTTAAAGTGTGTTGCTTTATGAAGGGGCGTTGTCTTACCTGAACGCCT